AAGCATCAAAACGCAGCGAAACAGCCAGCAATATCCCCTGGGCAATGGAAGTACTTCTTTCTGACATACCTCGAAGGCGCTCTCGGTTCTTCTGACAACATGACTGTCTGCATATAGATGGTCAGTATTGGAAATACTACTTCAATTTATTATCCAGCTGCTGCCAGTACTGCAGATGGTACCATTAATGCTCAATACGAGGCAGTACTGACCTAGGTTCCCATAGAAGATTGGTTATCAGAGCATTCGTCTTGCATTGAGACATATTCCATCTAGTTCTAATCTGCAGACCTCAGAACATAAATCAAACTATCAGTAACACAGCGAAGATGAAGTAGGCAGATGCAGCATTTATACCCATCAGAATCCTGAGATCAAGGGAACACAAAGATATCGCAAGACAAGGGGGGGATGATGAATTGACGGAAGACAAGAAATGCGCGAAACAGTCACAGTCAAATTGACTTATCTACCCCTAGCTGAGATATGAACAAGATACTGTAAGTACATGATTCCCCTGCCGGAGATACGGTGTAGGTCTCCGTCATGATTCCTTCTGCTCAAGGCTTCTTGCATGCGACGGGACGATAGGTGGACCATTTTCTCCTTTGTCTGGAGTCAGCCATGACGTCCCTTCTGCCACGTGCCTTAGAAGCGCATTTATCAGGATCCAGAGATGGAAGATCTCGTGGTCCTCTCATGTTTACTCCATTCTTTTTATTGAAGATGGAAAGAGTCGGAGGATAAGGAGGCTTGGGCTTAAATTAAATTACATGTATTGTAAGACCATAGCTGGGGGGTACGTAATGAGTGGCAGTACATCAGCCACAGTGGCGGTGACATCTCTCGCCAATCAGAATCCACAGCATCACCGCTACTCTTTACCACTCAACACCTAAGGTATTGGCATGTGCCTCATTAACTACCATCAAGGATCTTCTTGATCTTCTTAAACAACAATAAATCACTGATAGTGGATCAGTTTTAGCAGGACGACAGAAGTACCTCCTGATAGCTTATAAAACAGCAATGTATTGTATCTAGGAGGATATGCCGTTGTGCCCAACCAACTCTACTGGCTGGAGTACAGTAGTGCAGCCAACGATCATGGAGGATGATGCTGCCGAGCATCCTGATCGTGTTGTGCCAGCAAATCGGCGTCCCCACGAATCTTCTAAATCGGGGTGGCTTAATGGCTAATCCTGCTGGGTTCGCAACCCAAACAGAGACCGGCAGGGACCAATCTCGTTCATGCAGGCTCACCTTTCCAAGGCCTCAATGGTGATTTGACTCCAACGCCTTGAAAATCCCTGCTGTAGTGCTCAGCCAGCTATATATCACACCCAACCAGGCCGACACTCTCGCGGGATTGCATCCTGTTCGCTGCTTTGCTCTTAATTTTAGGCGCCGAATCTTGCTACAAGTTACAACTGTCCACCATCCCAGCCTCCTCATTTCTTTTCTTCATTCATACTTCCAACACTTGAGTTGTTCGTGGTCTTGGCCGCCCTGACTCAGTACAGTCACCGTATATTTGTTGGTCAGGATCTTTCTGTACACGGGGTACCTTCTTAGCTGCTTTTAAGCTTTCAATCTCAGCTGAGAATTTCTACTTTGATTCAGGCACCAGTTTTGTCTGTTCCTTTTTCGCCTCTGAGGTCTCTGTCCGTGCTCGTTGATTATCTGGATATTTTAAGGAATCTTATCTTGTTCTTTGAGTTTTCCCTGGGCGGAGAATAGGAATAAGGGGAAAGGCCCCGGTTCTCCACCCGCGCCGACATCCAGGCTCCATATCTATCTATACCTATCTAAGGTGCTCCTCACCGCTTGATCGCGGAGCCACCACCGACTACGATCAAAATTATATGAATCACTCGTCTATGCTGATGGACCTTGACGATTGACAGCCGTGGACTCTATCTTGGACGACCTCAAAAGTCACTCGTGGCCGTTGATAGTGTCCGATCTAGCACCCTTTACCCGTCAGTATGCCTCCGTTAGGCGAGACGATTGCCGTGATTGACAAGTCCGGCAAGGTAGTGAGCACGGTAGGTACTCGGCACTTTTTTTCGTCGTCTCCAATAGGTATAATTTGATCTGACCACTGCGCAATAGAGTAAGCACCTCTTCGGGGTCTTTACGCAGGCCAAAAATGCATATCGCGAACGCAAGGCTCAGGTTCAATCGGAGCGCAACGCCAAGATTGCCGAAAGGGAAGCTCTGAGGGCCTTGCAAAACTATCACATCGATGATGCGCCGTCAGTTGCCCCTTCTCGCAGGAGCAGAAGCACACATTCGCGACATCCTCGACATCGTCGCGCTCCTTCGCACTATGAACAGGACCTGCATTCGGTAGCCTCACACACCGAGTCCTACTACGCCCGTCCATCGACCATGACCCGACGTCATACGCATCATGATATCACTAGGGAAATTGAGCCGCGCCCCAGGACGGGTCGTTCGATATCAGATGCTCATATCGACATGGACTTGGCATATGGCGAGTTTCATCCATCGGCTCTGGCCAAGGCTCCATCCCCACAGCAGCAGCAACTCCAAAGGATCCAAGACCCTGAACTGAATGGTTTGGTCGGCCGCGCCCAATGGCTTCTCGAGGAAGCCAACTGTGTGCACCACAGTGCAACTGCCACGATTGCTCACCTTCAGAAGAATCCGGACGCCATGGCCGCGGTCGCGCTGACCTTGGCTGAAATCAGCAACCTGGCCACGAAAATGGCACCTGCTGCACTGTCCACCCTTAAGTCGGCCGCTCCCACCGTTTTTGCCTTGCTAGCGAGTCCACAATTCTTGATCGCCGCTGGTGTCGGCCTCGGTGTCACGATCGTCATGTTCGGCGGGTACAAGATCATCAAAAAGATCCAGTCTGCTGGCAACGAAGTTATCCGGGGGCCGGGGGAAGGCGACAGAGGGTCCGTCATCGTGGAAGACATGATTGAATTCGATACCGATTGTCTTAGCGGAGTCGAGATGTGGCGGCGTGGTGTCGCTGACGCGGAAGCAGATAGCCTCGGCACGTCTGTCGATGGTGAATTCATCACCCCCACTGCGGCCGCTATGTCTGGTATCGACATCACCACAGCACGTATGATGCGAGATCCTCGATTCAAGTTCCACGACGATGAGTCCGTTGCTTCGTCCCGCCGTTCCCGTCGCTCGCGGGCCCCGAGAGGCAGCTCTCGGTACCATCAATCGGAGTTTGACGCCAGGGCGGAGTCGTACGCGGGCTCGAAAGCACCATCAGTGGTTCCCTCGCGGACGCACACCAAGTTCTTCTCCAAGGCACCCTCCAAAGCTCCCTCACAGGCACCGTCAAGGGCCCCGTCCAAAGCAGAATCGCGTCACTCCGACAAGGACACAAAGCCCAAAGAGAAGAAAAAGCGGTCCAGCCGCCTGCGGCTGATGTTTACAGCCTGATCGCTTCATCTCGCATATGGCACCAAGCCGTTGTACATGTTGTACAGCACGATACGACCTACCAGAAGACGATGATGTTCATAGCGAGGCGGTTCATCATTGACCGTCTTTTTTCATCTTTCCTTCTTTGCCCCTTTTCTTCGTTCTCTTCGAATCATCTCAATCCTTCATTTGCAACCAGGACAATCCTGGCGAAGAGTGATGTATATAGCTTCTCTGCATATTTTCCGGCGTTGGGATGGGTGTCTCATCACTCCTTTGAATGGTTATTCAGCACGCGGTTTCCTGCCAAACCGTTTCACTTCTTACACAAGGCATCCAGGATTAGTCCATGGGTTAGACTAGAGCTGCCATCTTCTGCATCGCACTCATCATCATGTTGTCATTTACGAAGCGCGTGAATACAGATCAAACGAAAGACATGAATAATGTGAACTTGGTTTTTCAGTTCTCTGTATCATTAACCATCAGCAATCAACTAGACACGGGAAGTATACTACAAAGACGGTTGTCTCATCCCGCCCCCAAAGCACACGCAAACAACTTCCACCATAATCCTTCATCTGACCTTGGAGGCCCAATCAAATGCCGAGTCAGAGAGCGGGTCCGAGTGCATATGAGGAAGTTGAGCGGAGAGTTTCGTCTCCTGTATATTGACAAAAGCTGACAAAGATGATTGATACGCAGATGGTGTTGGCTAACGCAGAATTCACCGAAGCAAGCTGTTTAATATCTGGCATGCTACGTCTCAGCTCACTGTCCTAGATTGAGAATAGTATATCGTCATACTGATATAGCAAGATGACTTTCGGCGCCATCGGCACTGCAAAAAGCATCCTTTGCCGTGATCTAGAGATTAGCATCATCATCCGCAAAACAGCCCAAACATTCTACATATACTGAGACTCGGAGTACTCCGAACCGATCACCAAAGTCAGACCAGACGCGAGAAGCCTCTAGTAAACGCTAACCAGGCTTGTGCTGAGACGGTTCCGCGGAAGGGCACGGAGAAGTCTGGGGAGAGGCATTGTTCGGCAGATGCGGGCATGTCGCAGAGCCGGGCCACAGCCAAAAGTGGTTTACCCGGCGCTGGTGCCGAGCAGGCGCGTGGGATTTGCGCTCCAGGTTCTGTTCCGTGTGGTTCGAAACGGCAAGCACGGAGTCATTCCTTGAGTATTTCCTGATGGGCATGCGTCCGTATATGCAGTTTGCCTGTGTAAGTTGGTATTTGATAATGGTGACGATTGGAAACGGCAGTTTTTCCCGCATGGAAATACCCCGAGCCCCGCATAGTTTCGGCGTAGTTGACGTTTGAGTCTCATTATACGATTACGAAGTAACAGCTGAGAGAACGTTTATTAGGAAATGATAAGTTACTTTTGCCCTCCCCGGGCCGTGGGGAAGTCAAGGACCATTCGATATTGAAATACTTGCCGCTTCTCCCGTCGCGAGTAGATATATTCTTTCGTTCATTCACGCTACTGCTTCGTCGTTTTTCATAGAACAGAATTTGACACATCGGTAGCGAAGTGATTTGTTGGCTTCCGCTGTACTGTCTCATCACCATGATAGTACCACGGGCAAAGTCACCTCTCGAGGTGGTTATTGTTGGGTAGGTCTCATGCTGCACTGCATTCTATATTCCCGCTGACTGTTTCAGTGCCGGTATGCTATGTGATGTGCATGACCTACCGTAGGCTAACTGGTATAGGCATTGGGGGTATGGCTGCTGCATTGGCATTGGGCCAGCGAGGACACCATGTCATTGTTCTCGAATCAGCCCCAAAGGTACGCCCAAGTGCTTGAGAACATGGACAGGCGAAGTCAGACTGACCCTTATAGCTCATGGAAGTCGGAGCCGGTATCCAAGGCTCCCCGAACATGTTGACGCTCTTTGACAGTGCGTGGGATCATTGCGTCTCAATAAAGACAGAACAGCTAACGGTCTTCAGGATGGGGAGTCTCTCCCTTAATACACGCCAAGGACGTCGCCTTGGAACACATCCACGTCCGACGATGGCAGGACGGCAGCCTTCTGGGAACAATGCCTGTAAACAAGACATATGGCCAACAAGTAGTTGTCCACCGTGCAGACCTTCACAATGCGCTGATCGAAAAGGCCGTGGCGCTGGAGAATGTCCAAGTACAGGTCAACTCGACCGTTACTCGCGTCCGGTTTGACCCTCCAGCCGTGACCCTCGCCGACGGCACCGTGGTGCACGGCGATGTAGTCCTCGCAGCAGACGGGATCAAATCCAGCATTCGGGACCAGCTGCTGGGCAAAGATGCGACCAAGGCCGTCCCCACCGGAGACGCAGCGTACAGAATCATGCTTCCCCGAAGCGCCATGGAGAATGATCCCGAGCTGAAGCAGCTCATTGACGAGCCCCAGGCAACACGGTGGATCGGACCCTACCGCCATATCATCGCCTATCCAGTCCGCAACCACCAGCTATACAACATCGTCCTGCTCCACCCGGACCGCACCGATGTCGAAGAGTCGTGGACAACCAGGGGATCGAAGCAGATGATGGTCGATGACTATCGCGGCTGGGACAGGCGAGTAACGAAGCTCATCGACCTGGTTAAGGACGACGAAGTCCTCGAGTGGAAGCTGTGCCAGCACCCGCCTCTAAAGACGTGGATCAAGGGCCGCGTGGCCTTGCTCGGCGATGCCTGCCATCCAATGCTGTAAGCTATTGCAACCATCCCGATTATCCATTGCTAACCCTCGCAGTCCGTACGTCGGCCAAGGTGCCGCCCAGGCAGTCGAAGACGCCGCCGCCCTCGGCGTCCTCCTATCCACCATCTCCTCGCGGAGCGAAATCCCCCCTGCCCTGGCGGCATACGAAAAGTCGCGCAAACACCGCGCAGAGACAGTGCAGCAGTCCGGCACCGTCAACCGCGCGACATTGCATCTCCCCGACGGGCCAGAACAGCAGGCCCGCGACGACCAGTTCCGCGCTTCGATGAACGGGGCATCGAATCCAGACAAATGGGCCGATCTGGAGACGCAGAAATTCCTGTGGGGCTGGGATGCAGAGAAGGTGGCCCTGGAGACCTGGGAAGGTGAATTCTCTTTTAAGCTGGTTATGTGAACGAGACGGCTAACGAGAATTGTTTTGTGTTTGGTAGAGCTTCGGGGGAACCGCTTGACAGCAACGCGACATCATTTGTGATGTGGTCGCAAGTTTAAATCTTTCATGTCTTTCCTTAGCGTGTTAAGCAGGTTCTGTCATTCTTATTTTCTGCAGAACTATCTTCATGGTAGACTTGGTGTACATATATTTCGTTATTTCGGGTTCTAGCATTCTGCTGATGAGTGACAATCTGTGGACTCTACACAATTGTGGCACACTCTTTATGAACAAGTTGATGTCTACACAACCTCTTATCTAGTTCACTGGAAGAGAGTTATATCTTCTCTTGTCTCTTTCTCAGGTAGGGACCGGCACCGCGCCGCGAGAAGCCCCATCGAATCTGATTAGCCATAGAGATCTCCAGATTCAGATCGTCAGCCCAGGCCCACACCAATCCCGGGTTCTTCTGGAAGCCACGCCCAACCAGCACAAGGTCCAGTCCGTCCTTCTCTAACAAGGAATTAGCCAGATGTGCGCTGTCAATCATGCCTACGGATGCCACTAGGAGTTTGTCCCCGACGGCGTTCTTGATAGCAATGGCAAAGGGTGCTTGGAAGCCTGGCTTCGCGTGGATATGCTGCTCCGAATGAGTGCCGCCGCTGCTCACGTCAAGGACGTCAATGTATCCAGTTTCTGCAAGTATCTTTGCAAATCTGACAGTGTCCACTCCTCGCCAGCTGGGCTTGTGCGGCTGCACCTCCTCGAGCCAATCGGTGGCGGAGACTCGCATGAAGACTGGCATATCCTTGGGCACATTTTCCCGGGTGAGTTTGGCGATCTCCAGACTGAGCCGGATGCGGTTCTCAAAGCTGCCTCCGTACTCGTCTGTCCTCGTGTTGACCGCAGGCGAGAGGAACGACATCAGAAGGTAGCCATGCGCATTGTGGATTTCGATAAAGTCCGCCCCGGCCTTGACGGCCCGTTTTACAGCGGCCACCCAGGCGGTCTTCAGATCCTCGATATCCTGCTTGGTCATCTCCTTCGGCACAGGGTTCCGGTCGGTGAAGGGTACATTCGTGGGGCCTTTGACGCGGTCTGGCCAGCCGCCCATCTTCTCGGAGGCGGTATCGTTGGCCGAGAGCCATGGCGCGACGGTGCTGGCCTTGCGACCTGCGTGTGCGATCTGCACGCCGATAAGCTGGTTCTGGCTGTGGACGAATTCGATCACGCGGCTCAATGGCTCAATCTGCGAGTCTTTCCACAGTCCTAGGTCCTGGGGCGTGATCCTCCCTTCCGGTTCGACTGCTGTTGCCTCGACCATTAAGAATCCTGGCCCTCGTTGGGCAATCCCTCCAAGATGCGCCATATGCCAGGGAGTCATGTGTCCATCGTCGGCTGAGTATTGGCATAGCGGAGATAGCTACCAATTATCACTCAATGTAAGCCATTTTTTTTGAGGTAAAGGCTCGCATAGGCGGTTGGGACGACTGGTACTCACACCAATGCGATTGTGAAAGGTCAGACCCCGCACCGAAAGGGGCTGAAAGAGCTTGGGAGGTGCCGATCCATCAGATTGAGGATTGGCAGCTGTGCCTGCAGGCGGTTCCTGGGCCGGAGTAAAATAAGAGATACCCGGGGCGCGTTTGTTCTCAATGTCAGGCACAGCAGGTCGCGACATGGTTTATTGACACTCGTGGGATTTTATACGTAAATTGCAATTTCAACACAGCTTAACAGAGAAAATTGAAGGACCGGAAGGGATGCAAGGCTCAAAAGAATACGAGACTAACGGTCAGTGCAACTGAGGGTGATTAGAAATCGCCTTGCGCTATTGCAGACCGATGATGTAACGTTGTTTTCGGTGTTCGTGCCGAGGCCTTACAGTTGCAACAAAGACGGGCTATATCTCTGAGGGGAAGCGACAGCCTTGAAGAGCTTCCATAAGATGATCGAAGAGTTGCATCTTTCTGACTGATACTTCTACATCAAGTTTCCCTCCTCCATTGGTCGATCGCGGCGATGTCCCGAGATAGTACCTGGATGGTTCGGCACTTGTTTCCTTCCATATGTTGTCGAGATCAGAGCATCAGCGGCTCTTCTTGGTCAGTAATGACTCGAGTGACTCCAATATGTATTCCATAATCATCAACTTCTATTTTTCTATTATTCAAGTTGCTGTGACGAGTCATTTTATGCAGGCGCATCCTGTCACAGAAGATTGGATGAAGTGTCTCTGGCTCGCTCAGGGCTTGAAGCACCTGATTCATTCTATTCTCCACTGAGTCTTCATCAACTCACGCCATCAACGCAGTCCAATGACCTTGAGATCTCTCTTAGTAACGACCTCAGACACTCTTCCAAAATCTTCTAAGCCTGGAGTTTCTGCCGTTCTATCTGGCTGATCGCCGCCCCACTCTTATCTTATCGCACAGAGCGATTTCGGCGGTGCGAAGAGCCCTAGTCCCAAACAGGCAATGCCCCAGACCGCCAGGTACAGAGGTACGACTCCCGCCAAAACCTTTTTTGGCGAACTGGAGGGAATGACTCAATCCGGTCTTTAAATACCCCCCCACAAGCTCCATTCCCTCTCCAATTGTTTCCTCCTCCTGCTCTTGATTTCCTCCCCATCAATTGCTTCATCACACACCTCAACCATGTCGAAAGGAAAGGTTTGCGTCGCCTTCAGCGGTGGTCTCGACACCAGTGTCATCTGTAATTGCCCCACACCTTCACCAGCGGTGTTTTGGGCCCGTGCTGACCGCCGATTCCAGTGAAATGGCTCATTGACGAGGGCTACGAGGTTGTTGCTTTCAGTAAGACGGATTCGAACTTTGGACAACGAGGAAAGCATAACTGACTTTTCAATAGCTGCCGATGTTGGCCAGGAAGGTAATTCATCAATGCGAGATTCGAATTGCGAATTAGTCCGACTTTTAGGTTCTGACTCATTGCTCGTCCAGAGGACTTTGACGCTATCCGAGAGAAGGCTCTGAAGCTCGGTGCCGTCAAGTGCGAGATTGCCGACCTCCGCCGTATGTATACTCGAGAGATTTGCCTGGGTGTTCACAATGGAATCTAATAGCAATGTAGGGGAGTTCATTGAGCAGCTCTGCTTCCCCGCCATTGCCTGCAACGCTATCTACGAGAACGTCTACCTTCTGGGTATGTCACGAGTGTCAAGCCAAAACAGTATTGATATTAATTCCCTTTCTAGGAACTTCTCTGGCCCGTCCCGTCATTGCTCGTGCTCAGATTGAGGTCGCCAAGGTTGGTTCCCTCTGCTGATTGCTATACTCGAATCGCACATTGACAATGATTGTACAGAGGGAAGGATGCTTCGCTGTTTCCCACGGTTGCACCGGCAAGGGTAATGACCAGGTCCGTTTCGAGCTTGCCTTCTACGCCCTGCAGCCCGATATCAAGGTCATTGCCCCCTGGCGTGACCCTGCTTTCTACAACCGCTTCGCCGGTCGCAACGACCTGCTCTCCTACGCTGCCGAGAAGGGCATTCCCGTGACCTCCACCAAGTCCAAGCCCTGGTCTATGGACGAGAACTTGGCCCACTGCTCCTACGAGGCCGGTATCCTCGAGGACCCCGACGTCACTCCTCCCTCCGACATGTGGAAGCTCACCCAGGACCCTCTCACCGCCCCTGACCAGCCCGAGGATTTCACCGTTCACTTCGAGAAGGGTATTCCCGTCAAGCTCGAATACACTGAGGGTGGCCAGAAGAAGGTCGCTACCGACGCTGTCGACCTGTTCCTGACCGCCAACGCTATTGCTCGCCGCAACGGTGTTGGCCGTATCGACATTGTTGAGAACCGTTTCATTGGTATCAAGTCTCGTGGTTGCTACGAGMCCCCTGGTCTCACCTGTCTGCGCGCTGCTCACATGTGAGTTTCTTCAACCCGTCTTTTCCCGGCTGTCTCTAATTTCACCACAGTGATCTGGAAGGTCTGGTTCTGGACCGTGAGGTCCGTGCTCTGCGTGACCAATTCGTCACCTTCAACTACTCCAAGGTTCGTTTCTGCCATCCGAATCCTACCTTGTATGATGGACTGCTAACTGTCCCTCAGCTCCTCTACAACGGCCTCTACTTCTCCCCCGAGCGTGAGTTCCTCGAGGCTTCCATCACCGCTTCCCAGAAGACCGTCAACGGACAGGTCCGTTGCCGCGCGTACAAGGGCAGCGTCTCCATTCTCGGCCGTTCCTCCGAGACCGAGAAGCTGTACGACATGTCCGAGTCCAGCATGGACGAGATCGGTGACTYKGCKCCCACCGAGACCACTGGCTTCATCGGCGTGTCCGCTATCCGTTTGAAGAAGTACGGACAGATGAAGCAGGCCAGCGGCGAGAAGATGTAAACGTGCATTTGAGGATAATTTAAGATGGGCTGCTTGCGGCCCTGGGTCTTTTCGGGTATCTTGTTTTATATTATACATCTATTTGAGCACTTGGCGTGTAACGGAATACAAAAGAATGAATGATCACCCTTGAACCATCATCAAGGGTATGCCGTCTGTCGTAATCTATCATAACTGGTTATCGTCTTGCTCCATGCAGAGCCAACCCCTTTTCGAATACGGTGGCAACTGTATCCCGGGTCATTTAGGTTCCCCCAGATTCTGTAGCCAGTTGAGCGCAACCTTTAGCATGACGCCGTCCCAATTATCCACGGCTATGTCACGAATAGCCTGTACATGGGTCTCTCCGGCACACAGAACAAGCTCAGTGTCAGCCCGACTCGACGACCCGAGCAACTCACCAAACTGCCGGATATCATCCACATAGACCTCGTCCGTACCCGCGAGAAGCAAAACCTTCTTAGCAGGAACAGATCCCCAAAAATCCTTCGTCCCAGCCAGCGGAGTGGCCCAGACCTCTTCCTTTACAGGCTTCCAGTGTGAATTGAACATCTCCATCGACGCCTTACTAACAATGTCCTTGGAAGCGTTATACGTATAGCTCGCAGCGGAGCATTCATTCGCACAGCGGGGACTGATGCAGAGCGCCGCGCGGAGCTGCTGCGGCCGCTGCTGATCCTCGTCCTCGAAAACAGGCCGGACAAGCGGATGCGGGTCCCGGAGATGCGCCAGCACCGCCAACGCGAGATTCCCGCCCGCCGAGTCGCCCGCTATCGTGATGTCCGCGGCAGAATTGTACTGCAGCAGGTACCGCAGTGCGGCGGCCGCCTGCGCCAGTTGGCCGGGGTACTTGAGTTCCGGTGCGAGCGTGTACTCAAGCAGGACGCATTTCGCATTTAGTCTGTGCGCGGCTGCGCGCGCGAACTTGAAGTGGCCTGCGGACAGGGGGAAGATGTACCCACCGCCGTGGAAATAGAGGAGGACGTTCCCGTTCTCGTTCCCGCTCCCGCTGGCGCGGCGCGCGGTGGGGTCACAGTCGATGAAGTGCAGGGTTGCGCGGGGGAAGGCGTTGCCTGCGTCTAGTTCGACAGTCTCATGGCGGAGGTGGTGGGCTTTACAGAGTGAAGCGATGGTGCTTCCTGATGGGCGTTGGAGTGCGCGTGCCTGAGCGAGCGGGAGCGTCTCGGCTACGCGGGCGGTGTTTCTCATCCAGATTGTTCTGAATGAGGCGGAGTCGCGGTTGAAGAGGAGGTCCCGCGTGATGCCGAAGATGAGACGGGGTAGGGAGACGAGAACCCTTGCGAATAGTTGGAGTCTTTGGAGCAGGGTGAGCCGCGGCGGGATATGGCTTTTTGCCCCGAGGGCCGTCATCTGTGTAACGGCGCTGGCGATATGCGTTACTCAAGCTCTTGTCAATGTTTATTGTGCATTTATCAGCTAGCAGTGGAATAGAGTCATCTCTGCCGTTCTCAAGAAAATGGATGGTGAAGTTGATGGACTTGGACTTTTTGAGAGATAGAATCACGTGCCCGCATCAACATGGGTCAAAAGAAGCTCCGGTCTTATGCCTCTTCATAACTCGTCCCTCGAGGCGATGTCAATATGACTATCTGGATCGCCAAGATGTCAACCTCGCAAGCGAGAGGATCTAGTCAAACTAGCCTACTCCAATTGAAGTGGTGCCTAAATGATGGCAGTCATTAGTCGCATTCAGTGTCCATTAAGAACCCTGGTTGACCCACCACGATGACGATGATCAAGTCGGGTAAATCGATTCATCCGACTGTCTCCTACTATTGCCCTCACCACTCCGACCTTACAACGTTGCAAAAGGGTCAGACTCAAACCCAAGTCAGTAGGCTGCTCGATGTCTGTGTCTAAAAGCCAGGGATGAAATGCAGTTTAACGAACCCACCATCAACAATCTGCTAGTTCGCAACTTCTGAAGCTTCCAGAGAGCTACTCATTCGCAGTTGTGCGAATAGCGACCAAGTCAGCAAGAGCCTCGTTTTGCGCTCTAGCTGCAATTTTGGCGTCTCCAACGCAAGGACACAAGCATTCTGGGCGAACTTTTCAAGGCAGAGCGCTAGCGAGCTCTTAAGCCACCGTGAATTCATCCATTGCCGGCTTCAGGCAACAGTATAGAGAGGTACTCCTATTTGATATTCGATACTCGAACAGCCCGGTCCGGCATCTCTTCATTTGTGAGCATTTGAGCTCAACGCCCTCAGTCAGATTGTCATAAGGTCTCTCCATTGCCTATTCAAGATGACGATCAAGATCCCATGGCCGGCTGTCTACCTTGCCATTGCAGCCTCCGTCTACCTGAGACCTCAATACACGATTCTTAACTCACCAACGGCGACATTCGTCGTACTGTCTCTGGCTGTTACTTGCTTCAGGATCATCTATGCCCTCTTCCTGTACCCTAGAATCTTCACCCCTATAAAGCACATTCCCACTCCTCCGGTAAGATTTCTTCATGGACGGACTGAACAGGTTCTAAATCTCATGATAACAGGTCAGGTCATGGCTTACTGGAAATACGAGCACGTATCTGATCGAGTCGCCTTTCGAAGAGATGATAGAATGGGCTCACAAAGTGCCCAACGACGGATTAATTCGTTACTATATCGTGGGCAACCTCGAGCGTGTATTGCTGACGAACCCTAAAGCCCTTAGTGAGCTTCTTGTCACGAAGGTATACGAGTTTCCTAAACCTCAGATGGTAAGGCAAAGCCTTGCACGCGTTGCAGGAAAGCATGGTGTACTTCTCGTCGAGGGAGACGAGCATAAGGTGAGCGTTCTCTTTGCTAGTCTGAAGTGAATCCCAGACTCATGGAGGTGCGTCATGCAGAAGCAACGAAAGAATCTCATGCCGGCTTTCTCATACCGCCACATAAAGGACCTCTACCCGACTTTCTGGTCCAAGAGCATTGAGATGGTCAAGCTGATCGAAAAAGACCTCCATAACCGAGCAGACGCCAAAGACAATATTGTTCGCGTGAGCGAATGGGCCAGCAGAGCAACTCTAGACATCATCGGTATCGCAGGAATGGACCATGACTTTGGTTCTCTGCACGATTCTAACAATGAACTCGCCAAGCACTACCGGCGGCTCCTCGAAGAGCCGTCGCTCGCAATGCGTATCATCTTCGTCATCGGTGTCCTTGTCGCGAGCCTTGGAGTCGTGCAAAGCCTCCCCCTGAGGCGAAACCGCGAGATTCGCGAAAGCTCCCTCTACATCCGCGACGTGGCCCGCCAAATGATCCGCAAAACGGAAGCAAAGATGAAGAACCAAGCATCCGCCGAAACCGGAACCGACATTGTCTCGGTGGCCCTGGAAAGCGGCGCCTTCACCGAAGAGGAACTCGTTGATCAAATGATGACCTTCCTCGCCGCCGGCCACGAAACCACCTCCACAGCCCTCCAGTGGTCAGTTTACGCCTTGTGCAAGCATCCGGACGTGCAGACGCGCCTGCGCGAGGAAATCCGCACCCGCCTTCCCCCCATCTCCCCCGAGCACCCTGAACCCTTATCCGCCGCCACTCTCGACTCCCTCCCTTACCTCAACGCATTCTGCAACGAGGTCTTCCGCTTCCACCCTTCTGTCCCGGGCACCGTGCGCGATGCGGCCAAAGACACAACGCTACTCGGATATCCGATTCCCAAGGGCACAAGGATACTCGTGTCTCCGGAAGTCATCAACCACAGTAAGGAATTGTGGGGCCCTGACGCGGACCAGTTCAATGTTGAGCGGTGGTTGGGTCCCGGGCGAGCGAATACTGGTGGTGCCAGTAGTAATTACTCGTTTTTGACTTTTTTGCATGGCCCGAGGAGTTGTATCGGACAGGGATTTGCAAAGGCTGAGCTGGCCTGTCTTGTTGCGGCCATAGTGGGACGGTTTCAGATGGAGTTGAAGGACCCCGATGCGAAGCTTGAAGTGAGACAGTCGGCCACGGTTGCTCCAAAGGATGGCGTGCTGGCTAGATTTACCCCGTTGGAGGGGTGGTAAAGTTCATACTGTATTGATTGCATTTCTCGTGGCTTGCACCAGATTGCAGCTGCTGGTACTTTCAGCCAGATAAGTCTAGGATGGCTTGTGCTATAATCAACCAGCTACCGGTATTCCTCCTTGAAAACCATTACCCTCTCAACGTCCTTCCCAGTAGCATCTTCCTCCACCCACGCTCGCCACATCCCTCCACAATTGAAATCAAACACCACCTTGCCCCGATTTAGCACCTTCTTCTGCTCCCCGAGCAAACCGGCGCCAGTAGCATCCAACACCGTCTCGGCCTCGATCCCAATGATACCCCCCTCGCCTTCCCCAGTCTTGCCCCATCTCCGGCCCGCGGAACGCTCAAGTTCTCCATCGGGGCCGGCAACAGCACTGACAGCTTCCGCGAGAGTACGAGGAACCGATGACTGAGAGTATCGAAGCATAGCACAGGCGGTGCGGGCCGCCGCGACGCGGAGGAAGGAGTCACCGTTTCCGGTCCCTGAGAGCGCAACGGCTCGTCGTCTGACACGCCGCGGCGTAGATTCCCGCTCAAGAAGTGCCTGCTTCTCGTAGCGGTGCTCCAGACTGGGTAACCGCGTATCCGGCCACAGTAATCTGTTCACAACCGGCGGGATACAATCGGCTACAATGCGCCTAATGCCCGCAGCTCCAGAAGCAACATCCTCCGCATCGTGCGGGTTTAACGAGGACTGGTATACCATTCCTTCGCCCTCGCTCTCGCGCAACACCTCCTCCCACGCCTCAGCCCAAAACCCAGCCCCGAGCGTCGGCGTATCCCCAATCCGCCCGGGAAGCTTATTCGTCATCCCGCCCGTACTCGTCGCAACAGCCAGATTCCCCCACTGGTCGAGACACACGCACCCGACCGTCCCCTGGCTCATGGAAACGGGCTCATCCTCCCCCTTCAGCCCGCGCCGATGTTGCTCCCACCGCCTCTTGGTCCAGAACCACCCGTCCGGCTTGAACTCCAGCGCCCACGCCCGAGCGAGCTCCTCCACGTACGGCGCCACGAGCTGCGCATGCATGTTCCCCCCATCGCCGGTTGGGTCGCCGTTCGCGTCGTAGCCCGTGCGGAGGAGGCATTCCTTCGCGAGCTGGATCGGGTGCCGGACGTTTCTTAGCCCCATCACGCCTGCACCTCGTTTGATGGAGCCTGGTGTCTCGTCATGGGTGGAATTGTTGACGGTTGTGACCATTACGGAGGCTTCCATTTCGATTGTTCCTGCCGAGGTGAATACGCTGCCGCGCCCGCAGTTGAAGAGCTCGTCGTCTTCCAGGAGTGAGACGGCGTGGACGGCCGCGTCTAGGGCGCTGGCGCCGCTGTTGAGGAGATCTTTCGTTGAGCGGAGGTAGGAGAGGAGGGAGGCATGGTATTGAGCGTAGAGGTCGGGAGGGAGCGTCGAGCGCTGGATATTGCCGGCACCGCCGTGCAGGATGAGGGCAGGCTTGAAGGTGGCTGGAATGGAGTCGGGCATGGTCGCTTGCTTCGCTGGTCGGGGCTCACAGAGCGGTTGATTGAAGCTGTCTGCATATGACGAAACTAGCTTCAGGTAGTAAACACCACAATTCAAAAAGAAGCTGAAATAGCCAATTAGACAAATGAAAATCTTCACCAACCAGATAGATTCTTTGATCGAGAAAACCTGCAATCAAGATGATAATGACAGGTTGTTGTGTCATGGGCTGATCGGCGGCCAAACACCATAGGCCTTACCCCTCTGCAAAAGTGAGTTTGCCTCCGCCATCTCCAAACATGAGTGATTCTGGCCACGCCAGCTGCAAAAGATAAGATAGGACAATCAATGTGTGCTGAGAAGTCAGATTAGACCTGTTTATCTGCATGTTAATGTACAAGAAGTGGATGTGCCCAACAAATCTCAGGGACCTGTGCAGAGAGCTCTTCTTTTCGCCTCCGAGCTAAGCAATAGAAAACACAAGGATTGCAGAAGTATACAACCCATCATCGCCGGCAAATCCAGTGCTCAGAGACAGTCAAAAGTTGGACTAGAAGCACAATACGAAAGCAAAAAACCTCTATGCCATGCCTCGTTGAAGATGAAATGACCAGACCCAACACCTGAGAAGAGAGATACGTAATAATATAGGACATAGATGGGAATTCGGCTGACAGCGGAGGAAGAATTGTAGCTGCGACGGTAAGACATTAGGTGATTTATGCGATGGCCTTTTCGGAAGACGGAGGAGGGGGAGGGAGCTATTAAACCATCGATGTCAGCCACAGTCATAAACAAAGTAAAAAGCGGCAAATGCAAGACTTCATACCTCTAGTTTTGTGTTGTCCGCCATCATCCTCTGGAACCCAATACCAACACCCTCAATGACGGCCAGGAAAACAGCGCACATGATGGCAGAGTTCCTGGCGGCCTTGACACCACCACGAACAGCCAGGGCACCACCAGTGAAGAAACCAGCAATAACTGCAGAGAAGAAGACGGTTAGAATATGTAATCCAAGTGTGCCGGATCGCCAGTTTGTCATGTAGAATGAGGACGTCAACGTACTAGCATTGTAAGGATCCTCCTTCTTCCGAATACCCTTAATTGCGCAATCGAATGTTGAGAAGAGACCACCCCAGACACCAAAGTTACCACCGAGGACGGGCGCTCGAGCCTTAATGGCTGTGATAGCACCTATCCGTCGCTCGCCGTAGGGGCTGTTTCTGAAACCCTTCACACCGTGCCAAACCGCACCACCAATAGCCTAAGTCAAAAAATCGAATTAGTTTTCGTTTCTTCGCGGCGGAGTACTTGAGTACGTACACCCATGCAGAAAGCACCACCGAAATCGCTCAGGGCGACCCAGGGACAGGGATCTCTCGAGTGATCCATTGTGAAATAGGAAGCAAGGAAAAAGAGAACAGTGAAAGGAAAAGGCTAATAATCGAATGTATCAAGTAGCCAGGCGTCTCAATAGATTACTTTGACTGAGTAACCTCGATGGCCTGGTGAAGCGTCACTCCGTCAAAAGCCGCCGTCGACTGTTTCGAGTGTGTCGCGGTGGGGCGATGGTTGATAGTTTGTATAGGTCGACGGCAATATAAAACAGTTAGATATTGCTTCGAAGTAGTGGAAACAGCAGTTGAAGAGCTGCTTATATGGCCGGGGACGAAAAGTGGACAATGGAGAAGCTTTGCGGAGCGCAACAGGTTCTTTTGGCTTTTTTTCGCCGGGAAAACGTGACTTTCGGACTGGGAGGAAGGTCACGTGCAGATAACCCGGGGCAGCCCGACTGCTGCAAAAGGGAAAAAGCTAACTGGCTTTGCCACTCCGTCTTATTTTCTACGCGCCTTTTGCGTCAAGGTTTTCGCATCTGCGGCAAATGATGAGTTTGTTTGATCATGCAGGGTTGGCTAGCAAAGAAAAATTTTCATTACAGCCAAGATAAGCTCGAAGCCTTTATTTGGCATCCCGATTATCCGAGTCCTCGTAGAAATTTATCTAGCAGCAATTGGGGTATAAGATCAACAAGAGAATATATACAAGAATGTCGGCGATAACAATGCCTAAGAGGGGAGATTCCATATGAAATTCAAGGCACCGCCTTCATATGCTGGGAATTGGCCCCCGCTGCTAATACTGAATGGCGCCATGGATGGGTCGAATGGAAGAGACAGCCAGTCATCAGCAGCGATGTCATTCAGTGACGGTGTGAACCCCATATCTGACATATTCTGGGGAACTGGAGCATTCATTATCAGTGGGGCATTCTCGTCACTTGTGGCACTTGCGTATGATGGAGGCGCCATTGAGTGCCGTGTCGTTGACCCCCGCCGTCTTTTGAGACGCTTAGATGAGGCGACTAAATTTCGTCGCAAGCGCGACACATGGGTCTCCAGCAAAGTAGCGTAGCGTGTGCTTAGGTGGATGTCGTCCAAGGCATTTGACCTCAACGCTTGTATTGTTCTCTCTAGGACATCCAGTGACTCGCGAAGCTTTGCTTGACGCGTTCCCAGGCTGACTGCTTTCATCAGGAATATGGATGCGCTTGTAATCCTGACGAATATCCGAACTGGTGAGAACCGTAGTGCCCCGATGTCAGCAAGCTGTGTGACCTTTTCCAGTATCTGGCAGCATCCATCTATGACTTCTTGGATGTATTCGTAGTCAATGGGGTCGATGTTCATCGGACGAACTTCTTCCTCGTCTGCGTTTCCATCTGCGATCGCACGTTCAACTACAGCCTGCATTCCAACAGAGTGTGTATAGACACGGACAAAGTGGTATTCGATGAAGATATCGTCATAGAAGGGTTTGTCATGCACTTCAGCTGAAGTCAGTTGTATTTCTTCACGAGACCCAAACATCAAAATCTGGTTAACTTACATTGCGGCTGGAGATATCGCTCCTTCCACTTGTCAAGTAGTGGCCGAAAATGGTCCAGCAGGTCAATATATCGTCCACTCTGAAGCTGCTGTCGTGCGAAAGCAACAGAAGGAAAGAACATGTCCGTGACAGATTTGGCGAGTTTCGTCAGGTCCATCCATGAGTCCATGAATGTGAGCCATTCTTCCCCATATTGGCTTAATTCTCTAGACGTCTGTCGATTGAGGATGGAATGGCTCAAGCCTTGCGGCATGAGCGATACGCATCCTATCCGCCACGCTAACTGATTGATATATACATACAACAACCGTTGCGCCCGCTGTCGGCGCAGGCGCATCTGATCCTTTGTCATGAACCGTTCGTAGGCGACAAAAGCATCGCGTGCTTTATCTCCGGTCTCGTAGATGCCCAACTCATGCGCGAGAGATAATGCGGACCCCAGAAGCATCCATGACATCTGGTCAGATCGTTTAGCAGGCTCGCTCATGTCTTTTGCCCATCGCTTTGCTGATGAGGTGGTGCCTTCATCTCCGTATTCTGTGGTGTCCGTGTCTATGGTAACCAGCTCAGAATCCCATCCATCACTTTCTGGAGGAAAGTGGAGCGAGCGTGGATGCCAGTCTGACATGAGCAGGAGCGCTTCTATTGTGCCTATGTTCCGAATCTTCGGCTGCGAACAAAGCTCTTGCCCAAACATGAGTCTCGTCACCAGCTGCTGGCAGTGTTGCCAGAGTCTGTGGTGAATAAAGAAATTCCGCGACTGGCCGCCAGCACCAGGGAGTACATGGTATCGGGACGATATCATCAGGATTGTACAGCAGAGAACAGGGTCCTGTGCGATCAACCAACGGTGGTTGTTATGATCGGCATAGAAGTCTGTCAATACTGGAGATAGTACAGACATGTTTTTAAAAAAGCTATGACCATTCTATCGTCAGCAGTATTCAACATTGAATTTGTATAAGGGTCACGAACAGATCAATAAACGTCACAGCTTCTCTAGCCGTGAACCAGCCCATCCTGACGAATCGGCATGCCTCCCAAACACTCAGAACGTCCTTCGATACATGTGAGAGCTCGACCGGACGCATGGCTTTTTTCAACACTTCTGGGGGAACAGTGAGTTCTGTTTGCTTCGAAGGACCTTCATGAGTGACAGGATGACCTGCTGGAGGCTGCTCATTATCAGGCAGAGAGTCGGATTCTATCACACTGTCTTCCTGACTTTGTGCATTGGCGGCCTCAAAAAGAATGTTGAGGGCATCATTTCCACTTGAGACGACAGTGCGCATCATCGAGTTGGCCAGATTCGATGTAGATTGAGTCCTGTTTGATCGGGCATCATCATCATATGACCGGTGTGAGCTTTCTGCCCCATCTGCACGACTGGCGCCATGGCTTACGGGACTCGGGCCCTGAACAGGCGCTGGCACGGTCGCTTCACCTGTAGCAACTATGTTGTGTGGGGCCACGCTGGTCAACCTGGGCTGTGTCCTTGAAGGAGATGCAGTTTCATCTTCTGATCGCCCTGTATCTTAGCTGTGAGTCTGAGTCTGAAAGACAGCTCATAGAAACGTAAGCTGCGTGAACCTGGCCCGGTACTGACCTCGCTTCTTCACCCGCTCCCAGGCCCTCTTCTCGTCGAACACACACGGCTTCTGTTCACGGCGACATTTCGCACAAGGGGGACCAAGAGGAAGACCGTCCGGGCCCGTTCCCAGATCACACTTAGCCTTCCGTTGCCGGCAGGATATACAGGCCTTGTAGGTCCGTTGATAAGTTCGGTCGGGATGGTTTCCGTGTCGGGAGGGCCTCCGGATCTCCATGACTAGTACCAGCTTATTCGTGTGACCAATCACATCATGGTAATTAAGTCAATCTGTAATGCGGTAGACAATGCTGCTAGGAACGCGCGGTAGGGAGCTTTGAAAACTGGGCCTTCGGATTGGGTAAGCTGAAAATGAGACATTGCATCAAGATGCAAAAAGGAACAAGAAACGGGAATTTCGAAATAGCCGATAGTTTCCGCACCCGGAGCAACGAAACATCCGGCAGTGGTTCATCATCAACAAACAACCATCAACAATGATGCTATTTCTAGGATGAGATTATTGTTCCTGAAGCAAATTGAAGAGTGACAGAGGCACCTCAAGCTTATTTTTCGGAATATTCTGGTGATTTTACTTCGCTGTGGGCCACTTGTCACTGCAAGCTTTCCGAGGCATATCTAGTTCCTGTCCTTGATTACTCACGGCGTAAGTTAATGTTAGAATAATATCTAGATAGTATCATTCAAGAACATTAAGACTCAATGCTTCGTACCCGCGCATATTCCACGAGGGGCATGTCTAAGTAACTTGATACTGGAACCATCTTCACCTGGAGCATGTGACTCATGCTCTTATATTCAACGCAGTGCTAGTGCTATCGAGTGAGGCACCAAGAGGGTCCTTTCTCAATAATTCTGCAGCTCCTATGGTCCGTACGTTTACTGTTTAGCTCCAGATAGAGCTAAGGTCCACATGTCGAATAACCTCGGAAATGCGCGGAAATTTGAGCGCCAGTTTCKGATGTTTGTAGCGGCGGAAGTATTCCGCCTGGGACCCTATTCTATGCAACATCAAGGCCATTATTGGAAGCAATAAACCGTTTGCGTCTACTCAGAGGATACTAAGAGGGATAGATTTCACTTCACACTATGTCATACCTACCAAGTACGATAATACAAAGTATCCGCTCTTATGTAATGTGTATGCATAGAAATGTGTTCTTTATACCCCACGGTAATGTCCTCCGCACCTCCGTATGTAAACGATCAAGAAACATACATGTAAAGCTCATTGCCTCGACCTACCAAGAACTTCTCCTCTCATAATCCAAAGTAACATCGTCTTCGGCATCCCACAGTCACTATGGCAGACTCAACCCCTCCCAAAGTCACCCTGTATACCTATTTCCGCTCCTCCTGCTCAGCCAGACTCCGCATCGCCCTCAACCTCAAATCCATCCCTTACACCCCAATAGCCGTCAACCTCCTCAAAGGCGAGCAATCCTCCCCAGAAAACACCGCGCTCAATCCCTCCGGCACAGTCCCCACCCTGATCGTGGAATACCCCTCCAAAGACCCCGTGACCATCACGCAATCACTCGCAGCGCTCGAGTACCTTGAAGAAATCAGCCCAGCATCATCCCACGCCCTCCTCCCACCAGCCTCCGAACCAGAGGCCCGAGCGGTCGTCCGCAGCCTCGTGTACATCATGTCCTGCGACGTCCAGCCCGTCACCAATCTCCGGATTCTGAAACGGGTGGCCCCCTTCGGCGTGGACCGGGCCGCGTGGTCGAAGGATCTGATCGAGGATGGTTTCCGTGCGTACGAGGCCATCGCGGCAAAGAGTGCGGGGCTTTTCAGCGTGGGCGATAGCATTACCATGGCGGATGTGTGTCTGCTTCCTGCGGTGTGGGGTGCTGAGAGGGCGGGGGTGAAGGTGGAGGACTTTCCTACGATCTATCGGGTTGCACAGCGGCTGGAGGAGGAAGATGCGGTGAAGAGGGCGCATTGGAGGACGCAGCCTGATACGCCGGAGGAGTTTCGAGTAAGTTCGTCCTGAGGAAAATTGAAGAGACTGCGGGCCAAAACTTCGGTGTGTGCACGTTTGGACATGAATATCGACTCTTCAGCGCAGTGGACTACTCTATAGTTGTGATAGTCTCAAGATGAGGAAAAAAGTCATATTGACGGTTTATCTCAATTTCATACTCATAGCTTGCTCATAGGAAGCATCCTTTTGGGGATAAGATAAAATGAAAAACTCCATGGTCATGAACAGCTTAGAAGTCCAACTTGAGGGCCGGAAGAATTGTGCCGACACAGTCGCCAAAGCCAACGTAGTTTTCTTCCGTACCCGCCATGCCGCGCAGGACGACAGTGTCTCCATCCTCCAAGAATAATCGCTCCGAGCCATCAGCCAGCTTCAGAGGGTTCTTGCCGTTGGTCTGCTCGAGAAGACTGCCCTGAGTCTGATTCTCCTTGCCAGAAATGGTACCACTGCCAAGCAGATCGCCAGTGTTCATATTGCAACCTGTGATGGTGTGGTGCGCCAGCATCTGAGGGAACGAGAACAACAGGTTGTTGGCGTTGGTGCGAGTGATCAAAGTAGGCTTTCCACCAGCGTTGGTAATTTCAACCTCAAGAGGAATGTCGTAGGCATTAAGTTCGCGCTTCTCGCGCAGGTAGGGCAGCAGCGATTCCCGGTTGCCGGGCTCCAGACCGGCCGCGCGGAAGGGCTCCAAAGCATCGAGTAAGACCACCCAGGGTGTGATGGTGGTGGCAAAGTTCTTCGCGTTGAACGGCCCCAGAGGGACATACTCCCAAGCCTGAATGTCACGGGCCGACCAGTCGTTCATCAACACGACGCCGAAAATATGGTCCTCGGCCTCATCAATAGAAACGGGCTGGCCCAGCTCATTGCTCTTGCTGACAAAAGCGGCAAGTTCCAATTCGATATCCAATCTCTTACATGGTGAAAAGGTCGGCACTTTGGGGGTAGCGGCGGGGTTAGCCAGGATCTGGCCATTGGGACGGCGGATGGGGGTGCCCGAAGTCACGACTGAAGAGGCACGCCCGTGATATCCAACAGGGAGGTGCTTGTAATTGGGCTGCAGAGCGTTCTCAGGACCGCGAAAGAGGACACCGATGTTGTAAGCATGATTGAGCCCCGCGTAGAAGTCGGTGTAGTCGCCAATGTGCATGGGGAGATGGTTGGTCACCTCTGACAAGGGCAAAAGCGCCTCCTGCTGCAGGGCGGAATTGTCCTTGAGAATCTGGGGGAATGGCGTATCGGCACGGAAGATGCTCTGAATATATTCACGCACTTGACGGTGCACGGGACGGCCGAGCGCTGCAAACGCGTTCAGAGTGGGCTGGCTGAATACACTGAGATGGGACTGAATGACGGGGAGCTGCGAGAAACCGCCCGACGAGGCGAAGGCGCTCAGGTTCAGCGCATAATCACCGATGGCAACTGCTGCCACAGGAGATGTGACCTTTGCAGAGGAGATGATACCGAATGGAATATTCGCCAGAGAAAAAGGCGAGTTCTTGGGAATCGAGAGCCACGAAGCCATTATGATGAGGACGGTAGAGCGGGGAAAGTGGGTATCAACAGGGAGAACAAAGTGATCAAAGAATTTTCAAATGGCTTGCTGGAGATTATCCAGAGCGAGACAACGATATTAAAACCAAATTATTTTTCAACTCCTGTCTGCCCCTCATAGCTGGGACTCCTATTGATCCCCCTCCATGGACGATTCCGTGGAGACACTGCGGAAACAACCCGCGTCGCCCGCTTATCGCCGGCTGTTGTTGACGTCTTCCCCTCCGTCACCAATTCCGCTGTTCTACCCACCCCGCAGTCTAGATGGCCCCATCACCTCATCAGCTCTGCGGACGAGAATGCCCGCGATGATGGCCGCGGCTGGTCTTGACGGCTTGTTGCATGTTCATGCTCACGAATTACTCAGTTCTTAAGAAGGCCCGCTAGTCCCTCTCAGTTGGACTTATCGTAGTATACTTCCTGCTACTGAGCTCACGTGTCTGTAAATTTGCAGGTGTCCGACATCATGCCTGTCTCAAAGTTCTCACATCCCGATCCTTACTCATACCAGACTGGCTTCGACTCCTATCATGAGTATGGGCGAAAATCATTTGCGTCGAATTCTCGGAGCTGACTGAGCCTCTAGGACGGAAGCCGTCGAAGGCGCCCTGCCGGTAGGGCAGAACTCCCCTCAGAAGGCACCCTACGGACTTTACGCCGAGAAGCTGTCTGGGACCGCTTTTACTGCTCCGAGGCATGAGAACAAGCAGACCTGGGTCTACAGAATCCTCCCTGCAGCTGCGCATGAGAACTTCAAGGCCGAAGATGCCGACTCCTATCACACCAGCATGACTACAGAGACGCACAAGCTACATCATATCCCCAACCAGCTAAGATGGGATCCATTTGACTTGGATGAGACGGTGGACTGGGTTCACGGTCTGCACCTTGTTGCTGGCTCCGGAGATCCCACGTTAAAGCACGGTCTGGGTATTATTTTGTATGCTGCTGGGAAGGATATGGGAAAGGAGGCCTTTTACTCGGCGGACGGTGACTTTTTGATTGTCCCTCAGCATGGTGTGCTGGACATCCAGACGGAGCTGGGAAGACTCATGGTTCGCCCTAAGGAGATTTGCGTGATCCCTCGTGGTGTCAGGTATGTCATTTCTTGTCCTACCATACTAGCATCAATCACTGACAGTGGTATAGATACCGAGTCACTCTTCCAGCGGGCCCCGTGAGAGGATACATTTGTGAACTTTACCAAGGCCACTACCAGCTACCGGAGCTGGGGCCCATCGGTTCCAACTGCCTTGCCAATGCGCGCGATTTCCAAGCCCCTGTCGCCTCATTCGAGGATGAGGAAGAACCGACCGAGTGGCGGCTTTACAGCAAGTTCAACAACACCCTCTTTTCCGCGCGCCAGGACCACACTCCCTTTGATGTCGTCGCCTGGCACGGCAACTATTACCCTTACAAGTACGACCTTGGTCGGTTCAACACCATCGGCTCCATTTCCTTTGATCACCCCGACCCCTCAATCTTCACCGTCCTTACCGGACCATCAGACCATGCGGGTACGGCTATTGCTGATTTCGTGATATTCCCGCCTCGCTGGCTGGTGGCAGAGAACACCTTCCGTCCTCCATGGTATCACCGGAACACAATGTCTGAATTCATGGGACTGATCTGCGGCAATTACGATGCGAAGACAGGCGGCGGTTTTCAGCCTGCAGGCGCCAGCTTACACAACGTCATGAGTGCTCATGGTCCCGACGCGGACGCTTTCGAAGGTGCCAGCAATGCTGAGCTGAAACCTCAGAAGGTTGGCGATGGAAGCATGGCATTCATGTTCGAGAGGTATGTATCTATAAGACATTGACAGGCTCAAATGCTGACCATCTGTTTAGCTGTCTCATGGTTGGTGTGTCCGAGTGGGGTCTCAAAACCTGCCAGAAAGTGCAGGAACAATACAACGAGCACAGCTGGCGTCCACTGAAGAGGCACTTCAAGAACCCTAACAAGGCCTAATAGGAAGATAAAAACTTATGTGCTGCCGCTATTGTGTTTCTTGTAAAATTGACTATATACCATTTGTCTTTCTTTGATCAGCCAGCGCAACTCAGCTAAAATGAAAAGCTCATTTTCAGCACTTACCGGTAATCCTTAAAACTCTACTGGATAAAAGACGCTATAAGCTGCCAAACAATTTTTCAATGTTGCAGAGCCCAAATCGGAATCATGAATTGTGGCGCCAGAATACAGATAATGGTATATTTACAAATGCATTATAAAATTCAAGTCATCAAATAGACTGCTCAACCTCCTTCCTCAACGCCTCCTTAACAATCGCTCCACACATCTTCGCGTACGGATTCGTCTGCACAGCCAATTGCTGGGCAACCTTGTTCCCATACCTCCCTCCGAAAAAGAAATCCCTACTCGCCATCTCCTCCAGTTGATCGGGCCCCATCTCCCGCAACTTATCCGGCCCGCCTACCATCTCACTACCATCTGAATTCTTCTTCAACCTCGCAGCCTTGAGCAACAGATACCCGCGATGCGTATGCGAGTCCGCCAGGATGCGCGCCTGAACCGTCGAAACCGGATCAGCAGGTGACCTGGGTGTGCAGAGCGAGATCGCCTTCCCTAGATCGGAGAAGAGGCGCGAGGCTGGTTCAGTGTTACCCGGGGAGAAGATAGCTTCGTCTGGGTCTGTCGATGTCTCTGACGTCTTTTCCATGTGTAGGCGCAGGGCCTGGGCTCTGTTCACGTAGGCGGATGGGTAAGTCGGGTGCTCGGTGATTAGGGCGTCGAGGTCACTGATGGCGGAGCTGATGGTGTCCATTGAGACATTGTCGGATTGGAGGTTGCGGATGATGTTCAGCTCGTGGGCTTTGAGAGACTCGTGGTCGCTCGCTGAGATGTGGAGGTATTCTGGGAATGCGGGGAGCGATGGGTCAATTGTGACGGCCGAGGAAGGGGATGATTCAGCGTCAAAGAGAGCTTGTAGGACTGCAGAGTCGTTGGATGTGAGGGACGGCCGACTGGCTTGGATTGTAGTGCCTGTGGCCATCTTGTTTAATGTTCTGATATCGCAGCTGAGAGATGGATGATGAGGTAGTGTGACGGATCGCTGTTCGACGAACAAAGCAATTATTCCAGAAGGTTGAGCATTAATCAGTGGACAGTCTTCGGCCTTGAGTATGAGCTCATCGACTGATATTACAAATTATTTATCGATGTGATTAGTTATACTCTCGGCTCTTTGATGCCGTCCATCTGATCGCCACCATGGGCGGATATTTGTGCAAATACCCGCGTCCGCCCGGGTATCTCATCTAAACACCCGCCCACAGCCGACTACAGCCAAAAAAGGGTTCGTCCGTTTGGTTGAGGGAACATTGTGAATGGATCCCGGACTATCGTTGCCATCATGATTAAGCACGGAAACTTCAGAGAGGTTTGAACAATGGGAGATGTGGCTTTTATCCGTGCCCGGATGTTTGGTTCACCTTATAAGAGATATGGCTCGTCCGGTCATGAGGATGGTTCAAGCTCAACAGCCTAGATCGAGATCCAAAAGCCTCTCTAATAGCTCATATATCGCAGGCTAATCTCTTACTTGACAAGAGCAACTTATCATCTCTTCCCACTTGACTTCAACATGGCTCCCACGGCTATCTCTACGAGCCCTCCACCCACCGACCGGGTTTCCTCAAGCCTTGCCAGCTACAGAGGGTATGACCATGTCCACTGGTACGTAGGCAACGCAAAGCAAGCTGCCTCGTACTACATTACCCGCATGGGCTTCAAGCGCGTCGCCTACCGCGGTCTCGAGACAGGATGCCGCAGCGTCTGCTCCCACGTCATTCGCAACGGCGACATCACCTTCATCCTTAGTTCGCCTCTCCGGTCTCTGGATCACATCGACCGCTTCCCGCCTGAAGAGCAGGAACTGCTCAAGGATATCCATGCTCATCTCGAGAAGCACGGCGACGGGGTCAAGGACGTTGCTTTTGAGGTCGACTCAGTGGATTCCGTGTTTTATGCTGCGACGAACAACGGTGCCAAGGTTGTTTCTCACCCTCGGACCCTTGAGGATGCCGACGGACAGGTGCGAGTGGCGACTATCCAGACTTATGGCGAGACCACGCACACCTTGCTGGAGAGGGGCTCGTACCACGGTATATTTCTGCCAGGCTATCGCGTGGAAACCGGGGCAGAGGACCCGATCTCTCAACTGCTGCCTGGTGTGCACTTGAATCGGATTGACCACTGCGTCGGAAACCAAGATTGGGATGAAATGGACAAAGTTTGCGAATAGTAAGTGGCCCGCTTCAGCCATAAATAGTCCTGTTACTGACTGTTACCAGCTATGAGAAGGCTCTCGGTTTCCATCGTTTCTGGTCCGTTGACGACAAGCAAATCTGCACGTGAGTATTATTTGTCAACAAGACATTACAGCAGGAGACTAACGCAACCTCCAGAGAATACTCCGCTCTCAAGAGTATTGTGATGGCTTCGCCGAACGAGGTGGTGAAGATGCCCATCAACGAACCTGCCAAGGGCAAGAAGCAGTCCCAGATCGAAGAATACGTCGACTTCTACAACGGCGCAGGCGTTCAACACATTGCTCTTCTCACCGACGACATCATCCGAGATATTACCAACCTCAAGGCTCGCGGTGTTGAATTCATCAAGGTTCCAGACACATACTACGAAGACATAAAGGTGCGGCTGAAGAAAGCCGGCCTGACTCTCCACGAGGACTTTGAGACAATTCGCAGCCTGGACATCCTCATTGACTTTGATGAGGGCGGATATCTGCTGCAGCTGTTTACCAAGGTATGTCACTTCCCGTTGCATAGACAGCCCTAGTCAGTCACGCTAATAGAGAACAGCACTTGATGGACCGTCCCACCGTCTTCATTGAAATCATTCAGAGACACAACTTCTCCGGCTTTGGCGCCGGCAACTTCAAATCGCTCTTTGAGGCCATTGAACGGGAACAGGCCCTCCGTGGCAACCTTGTATAATGACTTTTGTTTTCCCGTTCACTCGTACCTTTGATTTCTGTTGGATACCAGGCATGTAGCTTTGCATCATATGTAGCGTTTGTTATAAAATGAAACAGGCGTTAGTTCTTTCAATGTTCGACAGAATATGCAATAGTCCTTGCAATCCTTCCCGCTGTCGTTTGTAGACCGTTTGATCTAGTCCTCTTCACCGACAGATATGTCCAAGGAATCATTCACTGCTAGATTGAGAGCCTCAATATCATTCACCCCTAGTGTACCCCTTTCAAGCTATAAGACCTGGAGCTTTCCTCCTACAAATCTTTCTTGACTCCTCCTGTCATCAGCTACACGGAGGACAGCACACAAAAATGACGCTGTCCTCACCTATCTTCTGTTGAATTGGAGATGACTTGGTCAACCCTTGTTAGCATCCGCTCCGTCCTCTGGGGTCCTCACTATGCACTTACCAACGTTCCTGACAGTATTGTTAGGGATACAGAGCCGGAGGCAGCTCCAACGACCATACTTCCGACTATGTCAGTACATAAGCAGAGAATCTGCAAATGCACCGTGCCAGTTACATGGACGACCACCGATGTCACTGGCTTCTATTCACTTCCGAACGAACATGGTGTCTGATGAAAGCTTCGCTGACCTTCCGGGTGTCAGAACTGGTTAAGCACAATCAAGTCGCATCTAGTACAAGGCAATCACTTCGCAGTGCTTTCTCTTTTTTTTGTCGCACTCATCCACGCTCGCGACGCGGCGTTTTGGCCGGAAAGTAATGGCTAACATCCATGCACAGCATTCAGTGGCTGCATCAGCGAAGAGCACCACACGATGCATGGACAGTTCTTCAACAGCAGGAAGTTCAAAGTGATCCAGGCAGCAGTTGCCACTAGGTCGCATGGCATCCGAGACGGTTGCTTGGATACCAGAGAAGCAGCTATTCTCCCAAACTTCAACAATCGGTCGGTACGATTCAGTGAACCATTTTCAATCAGCACGCTCTAACTGTGACTTGAACTTCCGGGAACTTTCAGTCATCTCATGATCTCGCGGGACAGACATATTTATGTCAAGGCACCAAGATTTCCTGGATCATCGCGATAGAGCTGAGGACAAGGGCAAATCACCCTCAAAACCCAGCATATCCGTCTACAGGGTCGACACGAATCGGGTTGTCCTCTGAAGGACTTCGCTCGAGATATCGGGCCCAGGTGCGCTCTCTGTTCAATAGGATCAGGAGTTTGCGCGGCCTGGGCCTCGAACCCTGCTCTCTCTATCTTTGGAAATGGCCCCTGCAACCTTCGAAAATTCGGATGTTCTGGTTTTGCGAATCTGCCAGAAAACAGTCCCAGCCACTAGGGATTTATTCTCACTCAGAAGTCACTGAGGACACATGGCTCACCTTTGAGTTAGCCCGGCGTAAAACAGCTGATCCTGAGGGATCATCTCACTACCGGGAATGAGATCGGGACTCAAGTCAATACTGCTTTGTCAAGAACGGTCGCCACTAATCGCTCGTCCACAAAAGGATGCCATGACATCTGCTGCCGGATACCTCGATATCGCATCCTGTACAATTTGACCGATTCTCACTTATCCGCATCACCCATGGCTGATCAACCAAGTAGGCCGGACCACCAGGTCCGGTTTGAGTCTAAACCTGCTAGCCGAACGTACCGACTTCAATGAGGAAGAGTCCACTCTGGGAACGAATCGAGTCACTGGAAACGAGAAAGGGCTACAAGGAAGATACGTCCAGCATGTGGGCAACATGCTTGGACCAATCTTAACGATTTAAAGCTTGAGTACGCATCGCAAAGATTGACAATAACACAAACACATGCTAACATCAGGTAGAAAGCGAAGGCAATGCTGCTGATTCTTGGAAAGACCCATGGATGATGAATTTCCGCATCGAACAACGAGCATGGGAAGTCGCGCTAGTTGAGTTGTCCCAGAATAAGAAAATATCAGCTGAGGCTAGAAAGTAAGAGAAACAACAAAGGCGTATGGAAAATGACAACGAATTCGATACCTTTTTCTTCGGCGATATCGAAATTACAATGTCTGACAACCCAGAGAAGCCTCGACCTCTGATCCCAACCCAATGGAACAAAGCACGAGGTTCACCACTTCCTACGTGGATACCACAGCGCACGTCCGAACTTCGCACGGCCATTGAGAAGGTTGATAAGGCTATTGAAGAGCTTGTCAAACCAAAGCCAGTCACACGTGCTAGCACGGCCGCGAAAGGAAAGAGGTTCTAACTTGAATTGTCAGACGAAGAGGATGACTCCAAAGCTACAGGCATTGACATTCCAAAAGATCTCTCAAAGTACAGAGATTGGGTAGCTGAACGTCATTCCGCGTGGGACGCCGCAGGATTACCAACACAGGATGAAGACATACTCGCGAAATACAACATCCCAGATGATGTTAGCAGTGATAAGAAGACGTGGCCGGCTTCTCTCCAGAAACTAGGTATTACGGCAATCAAAATTGACGAAGACACGACTACATACCCATGGGGAAAGCTCGCAATGGCTTTACAGCGAACTCTGGCAAAAGCTAAGAGTTACGATAGGGACTCCTTGTTTAGCGATGTCGCCAGAAAAGCCTTGAGATGGATCTAAAATGGCTACTTCAGCTTAGATAATGATGATCGGTCCGCATTATTCACAAAAGGAGTTGACGATTGGAAACTATCCGGCAAAGCAAGGAAGTACGTCGCCCAGACGCTCACAGATCTCAACGCAACGAAAGAATCGCTTCCAACTCTGCTATAGCGTTGCTTTTACCTCTCTCATTGCTTCACCTACAGGACCTTATCGCTGCATGTCTTACATGCTTCCTTGATGGCTTTTTCATCTTTTCCTTCGCAGAGGCTGTTCAGCATCTATATGACCTTCCTGCGTGTTGCCGCAACTGTCCTTGGTTTTGGTTTCCAAAGTCCGCATGACATGCGATTCCTACATGGCTTCGCTAAGCTCCGTTCCTTTTAATAGATGATTGATATTTGTTTTACTGCCTATACTTTTATTTTTTCTCTCTTTTCCTTTCTAGTCCTGGGGATACTGTTGTATGTCAACAGTCATGAGACACCTTTCTCTTTGTAACTGCTAGCGGAGCACAGTTAATAAGAAAAACAACTATCTTCCTTGACATACAAGCATCCACGCATACTTGGTTTTACGAAAATCCGGGTGACTCATCCGGAGTCTCAACACTTTTAAGTCAATTTATCGGAGCATCTTTTACTTTGAGGGTGCTATTGAGGGCTTAGTTCCAGAACATCGACAAAGCAGATGGCCAGCTGACAACATATTGATAGACTCCCTTTTGGCCGAAGCATCAACGGACGACTTAGAATGAGCTGGGACTACGACTCACAGGCCAAATGTGGCGGCAGCGGGCCTGTGTCTCATGCGCCAAGGGCAAGCGAGCTTGCAAATATACGTTCGGATTATATCCATGGTTCGTTTGAATTGTGCTCTTCTTCTGCGGATTTGCTGACAGCTTATGCAGGTGCCTGCGGCTGAGGAGCGCCAGGTCCGCGCTGCCCTCTGGACCACTCCTCCCGACTTGAGGAACTGCTTGTTGCGGTTGCAAGCGTGAAGCTCGCCTTTGAGGCTGCTGCCGCTCCGACGGTGCAGGTCGTTGGCTCCCCTGCTGCCCCGGCTACTTCGCTGTTCGGCGCGTTCTTTGGTGGATTGGTTTTTTAGAGGCACGTAGGCCGGTTGGGAGGGAGGGTGCGATTACAGGCCTTTCGTGATAGAATGTATCTGGAGATCAAGGGTTGAATCACGGTCATATTTCCGGCCTTTTATCTAGCTCAGGAGGTCAGCCCCCGGTTAGCCATTGGACTCTATTACACTGGCCCAAAAGTCATCCCAGCAAGATGCTACATAACATGTTGATGTGAGTTATATACGCTTGAATAAAATGCATTACTCCCAGAATGCTTTCCAAAGCGCAGGCAGACGATAGCATTGGACTGCCAAATCCATCATTTCTTCGAGGAGCTCGAAGCACCTGGTTTTGTCGCTCCCAGGCGTTTATACTTTCGCGGATCTGAAGCTCGTCAGCGGAGGGGGAAAAAACCATCAATAAACAGGGAACATACCCTTTCGGCTCATCAGAACCTTGTTCCTTGTACCCTTTCCACCTTCCCAGAAACCGCTTCCTGCCTTTCCAACGAGGACTGCACGGCATATACCACAGTTCTCGGGTCGGTAGACTTGTTCTCTTGAACAGAAACCACTAGGAGTTGTGAGAAGGCGTTGGGCTCCGAAGACCATGGTGCATTTACTTACCAGATCATGCGGTTCGCATGTTCGTTTGGATGATCCGTAGCTGCGTCATGGCACCTATATCCGTTAGTTGAGTATCATCATGAAGGAAAAGTTGCAACTAATGGCTGTGGCAGACTCGAGCAGCTATTCTGGGAAAGGCTGACGTACTTGTCACATGGGAAAACCTTTGCGCAACAGCTGAACCTGTTGAAAGAGTAAGCGAATGAGAGACGGCCAACACTTGCAAGAAACGGTAATACCTGAACCACCGATAGCTTTTACCGTAGTGCATACATCGGCCTCGACGAGGTAGCTCCTGACCAGCGACTATACCAAGAGTCTCTTTGGGCTAAAGTTTTCTAAGTAAGACTTTGTGATTCCGGCGACCAGATATATTGCACATACCTTCTTCCGTTGTGGAACTCGATCACGAGAGGAGACTTGAGCAAGTTAAGTTGTCAACGCATGTTTGCCGAGGAGAATAACTTTGTCACAACTCACATGCAGCAGATCCTACGATCAAGAACTTGACCTCGGGGATTTTGAAGACTGATGTCCAATGGTTAGTCAACGCTCAGGATTTCACAATCTCTGTGCTTACCCATTTTGCGATGGCACTGACGGCAGGAAGCTGTTGCACTCTCGCCGCGAACTGCAACGACGCCAGGGCCGGGAAATGTGGTCGAGCATTCTGCGCAGGTCGGGATAAAGCTACTACAAGGATGTGAGAGGCATTCGATCGGAGTTCGCAGACACTTAAGTGGCTCTTACCTAGGAAGAAGGTCAACAACTGTGCAGCCGTCCAAATCCAGATATCCGGCGCGGGTGGAGTGCTCATGCATCAGTTGTCTCCGAAAGCCTGGCAAGAGGGCAGGTTAGTATGGACCTTTTTTCAAGCTTCGAAACGAGACATCATTACCAAGACTCATTGTGTTGGTGCACTTCTTGCACGTCTCGACTTTCGGAGCCAATACACCACTTTTATCCTTGACCTGCGGTATATTTCTCACGTCCAAGTGCTCTTTGCAACGATCACACTTGACTGTGATGTAGAGACCTACAAGCTCCAGGAGCTCAATCCCATACAGCTCCAGGTAGGGGAAGGAAAGGGCCACACCACGTTCAGCCGTCGGTGCCGGCATGTCAGGAACAGGAGCGCCGCCGTCCTCGTCGTCCTCATCCTCATCTGTGAAGCTGTCTTCTGATGTCGAGAATTCTGAGATCTCACTGCCCTCATCACTACCTCCTGCAGCCCATTCTGGAGGCCGTGGAATGACACGAATATGGGGTTTGTCCTCCATCTCAAACATCGGATTGTTTGAGCCAGACGGTGCAGTCTGCTCTGGCAGATCCACGGAGCTCGTGGTCGGTTCTTGCTTCGGTTCCGATGCCGATTCTAAGACGGTCGTCGCAAGAGTGTGCATATTGCTTGTCAAGTAGTTGATTTGGGACATCAGGTTAAGCTGAGCGTTTGCCTTCACCCACTGCGAGAAGCCAACCTCTACAGACTGGGCTTCGGGAGATCTTACACCCTGAAGCTCAATTGAACTGGGCTCGAGGGGGTATAGACGAGGCACCAGCAACTTCACTGTCTTTATTGGTCGAAGTGAAACGGGCAGCCGTTCCACCTTGGAGGGTTGCACGGGAATAACGAAGGACAATTCATCTCGAGACTTCTGAAATAGGGGCAATCTACCGAGCCGAGCCTCGATTTGTTTTGTCTCGACTGCCCTTCTTCGCTCCGCCTGGGCTTTTCCCTCTGCGGTGTAGACCCTAGACACATTCGTGGCTGATGGCGTTGGCCTTGGTACTGGTTTTCGTTCTCTTGCAGGCGTATCAGTGTGCGATACTCGTACCTGCTCTGGCGCTCGATGCTCCTGTACTTCCCTGCTGCCAACATTAGGAACGAACTTGAGGGTGGGCCCTCTTTCAGTGGTTGTAAGCAAGCGCTCCAGATGCCGGTCGAGACTGTTCATCCAACTCAACAGAGTTCCTCGCCCACCGGTCCTCAATGTACTGTCGACAATATCATCAAATCCTCTCTCCACATTGGCTTGGAAAGATCTTTCCATGTCCGGGTTGATTACTTTTAAGGTAGGTCTTCCTTGTCCGGGATACGACAGCGGCACATACAGGATGCATTGCAGCTTGTCCAATTCGAATGGGAAATCGGGATCAGAAGGAGCCATTTCAATCGTTAAGGATATTCCTGAGCCGTCCGTGGTTTCCTTTGGATGAAACCTTCGCCTCACCTGGTTGATCTGAAATTCCCTGGGGCTCGAGCTTTCGGCCTTAGAAATCGGCCTTTGGCTGGCGTGGAAGCTTGACTTGGCTCCTGCCTGAGGAACGGCCCTGGCTTCCTTTGTGTGATTGATGGAGAGACTTCTAACATCGGTAGCTACACCTTGTAAAGAATTCTGGGAATCTTCGACCTCATTGGCTGGGCTGGCCTGCACTTGCGCCCCAGGCTGTGCACTCTTCCGTTTAGAATCGGCCAAATCGTGGATATACGGGCAAGCATCGCCGGCGCGACATCCTTCATGCAAGTTAGTACAGAAGGTAAATGAACGGCAATGAAGTCGAGGTCAGCTGATAACCTCTTCTCTGGAGACAGTATATTACAGAAACCTCGACGTATCTGTTCTTCGGTCCCACAAGCAACTGTTCCCCGAACAACTAATACACGAGCCAATAGCTCTAAGTACAGCTCCCAGGGGGAAGACAGTCAAGCTTGAAGATAACGAATAGTCACAGGCAAACGAAGGCAGCAGGCATAAGCACAGAATGTAACAGGAACGAAGGCTCACCCTTTTGGGAACTGAAGAAGCGGCATTTAGTTCTCTGCTTTGGGATTGGTCGATTGGGAACATCTGACAGGCTGGACACTGTAGAACCTTGAGGCTGAGCAGTCGCCAGCTCAGCGCCAGTGGCCGGTGGTTGACCTATGTCAAAATAAGAGTATCATGGTAAGCGCGTGATCAAAAGGTTGCGGGCCGCAAGGTCCGATAAGGGGCCAAGCAGCGCCTTCAGCGCGTACTGATTTAAAGAAAATACACAGGCAGGGTCTGCGTGAGAACGGACGTGGAACATTTGTAGATCGACAGAGACCTAGGCCTGCTGAGCTTGCGTAGAAAGAAAAAGCAAATCCTGCTGCGGGACCGTTGATTCCATGATAGGAGAGAGACTTGCAGTCTGAGGTACAGGATATGAAAATAAAGGGCCTTACCATTGGTAGAGGATGCATGTCTATTCAAGCCATCAGGCGCTCCAAGACCGCTAGTGGAGTCCATCCTAGCGATATGGTGTCAGTACAGCTCAAGGCAGTCTTCAATCAGACAAGTGAGATCTTGTTGAACATGTTGGTGCACTATCATGTCTACTATCTAAGGAGTGTCTTGACAACCATTTCTAGCTAGTTGAAATGATAGTGCAGCAACATGTTCAACAGATCACGCGGCAGATGATACACATAATACGATACCTTTGCGCAAAGGGCTATGATGACTTGTCAGACAGTCAATCCAAGGACTCTTAGGACAGGGGCGAAGTACTGTGAATTGTGATCAACCTGCCAACGCAGAGATCCGGTGACCGAGCGATCGACGGTGGCTAAGAAATGTACTGTAGGACTGTAGGACAAACGATGCAATAGATTAGAATGTTGCAGCCTTTACGTGAGAAAGTGTCAAAGCTGGAATAGTAATATCAGGCGATGAATGAGGACTCGTATCCTCATCAAGAACACGATATTGCTAATAGAAATGGCAATATACCTCGTCGTTGTAGTTAGTTTCAAGAAATGTGACGATGCTGACTGATGATCGTTTCCAATCCAGGGCGGTCAGGCGACACGTGATGTAAGATCTACAGATTCTCTTCGAATCTCGCAGTCAAGACAACACGCAAATTAACTTGGATGGAATACCATCCATGTGGTTCAGGCATCATAATAAGAAGTATTAAACCTCTCCAGGAATGTGTCATCTGCCTCCACTTCTCCTTGTCGACCTAAAGATACGATGAGACGCAAGCGAACTGTGATTGATGACCTCATATTTTGAAGATGTGGGGACGAATGAGTCCGGGGATGACTGACGAAGACTCATCTTGACTATGATTGAGTCACTAAGATGGATCACTCTACACAGAACCTTTCGCCAGGGGTTGGCCCCTTTTGGTGCCAACGTGGTCAATCTGTTTATTCGGCGCGCCCCTTGATCTTGTCTGGTGTCTGAACACGAACCAGGATTAGTTGCAGACCAGTGTCTGGAGGCTGTGGTCTATGGAGGAGGACTCAAAACAATTGCTTGGTTACTTAGCGATAGCAATTTATTAATGGTGGTGACTCGACTAGTTCTTGAAGTCAATCAGAACAAGCGTCGAAAGTACTCGAATCAATTGCCTTGTAATCTATCCTCAACAACCAGCTT